TTGGAAAAAAAAACGAGTGATGCGAATGATGTGATGCAGTATTGTCACTTGCTCGCTTTGGTTAGTGGTGGAGCTAGTTTGGCTCTGCGCCAGACTTATCCCAACTGGCACGCCCTTCGTCCGCAGCGAAGCAGTCTATAAATGCACCAACTCAGTAAGTTCTTTTTTTGGGGAGTTTGGTCTTGAACTCAGAGAAATAATAGCGATGAATCTTGAACTCAGAGAATAGCGATGAATAACTACAATTTTATAATAGGTGCACGGTAAATAATAGCATGATTTCCAACGGACCTTTCAAAAAGAGCTACAGCAGTAGCATCCGATAACATGAGCTGGGTAATTTCTTTGCGTATAGCACGTGTACGACTCCATAGGAAATCATACCACATGGCTAAATCGTCATCACTTCTGGTGTGGAGAATCCAAGTACCTGAAAATCCGTCCCGAAATATTGTAATAGTCGGGAGCTGCTATGATGGTATCTTCCGTAGGCAGAAGATAATCCATGGTGTCCTTCAACAATTCTTTCGGCCGCAGTTCATGGGGTAAAGGGTTATCCTGGTCAGCCGCACTTCTGGCGTATTCCTAAATATGGAATTTAAAAGATCACTTGGACTGAAAAAAGCAGAACAGTTCCAAGAGGGAAAACATGAAAGGGACACCGAACGATCCAGAACTGAATAATTTTTGTCCCTTTCCTCAAATATTTTTATATTTGGCACTTTTATCGGCGATTTGAAGCACAGTCAGAGAAACAGTCTGCTAGTCTGATGCTGCATTTCAGTTCGCTGAGACACGTGATAAGCCGCGGAAATTTCCAACACTGCAAAAATTTTGCATAATATTTGGCGATTCCTTTGGATGTTGCAGAGTCTTTTGCCAGTAACTCTAGTGAAATATTGATGCCCTACAAATGTTCACATAGTGGTCCAAGCACTAATACTACTGAAACTATATACTAGAAAGAGGAATCGCAGAACGCGGACCAGCGACAGCGAATATCCTCTGGGTAACGTGCATTCCCTCCTGAGAAACCGTATTTTCTGCTTTACACTCTGGAAGCACGAACACTCGCCCACTGCCATAAGTAAGCTTTAACTACAAGACATTCACAAAAACATTTTTCGATTATACCTGACTATGAAAACTTATCTTTCAGTGTCAATTCGTTGTTCCCAGGTATTACCTACACCGATGAGATCCCATTCTGCTAAGAGACTTGGGCGATTCCTTGAGGACAGGGGGTCGCAGCGTAAAGGCTGAGGGGGTGGTTTGGCCGAAACTGACAACGCTTTGTTGGGGGAAATGCAGCCATTCCCTTCCACCAATGGCGCTGGCAACAACCGCCCGCCTCCAGCGATTGTGCGCACTGCCTTTAAGACATGCACTGAAAACTACTCCTTGGCACTGGCCTGCAGACTGCCGAGGTAGAACTGAGAGTTTTTATCCTCCCAGACGAGTCTGATATCAATATACAAGTCCCAGAAGTATGCATAACCTGGCTGACCTGGGCGGAACCCATCCGGAATTTGAAACCGCTGACATGCGCTGAATTACTGCACATGAAAAGTTCAGTGGATGTCTGCAAAACGTCGTTTGCCACCGCACCACCTCCGCCCCTGCGCTATGATAACAAATCATGATTCATCTTTAACTTGTGCATTGTTATTTAAACACTAATGCTAGTTCATGCTTCATGGTGGATACAACTGGTAACTTTTACTATAATGGGTTTCCATCGATGTATAACCCTCTAGTAGTCAGAAATTAAGCAGAGACACTGGACCATTCTTTCGGTGCAGATCGACTAAGTGGAGGCACTAAATCGTGCTCAGCGAAGCTTATGCGGTCACCCTATCAAGACATGTTAACTCCTGAGACCAAATCGATTTGTTGCCCCTTTTCACAGCTTTATCTACAGGTATCTGAGTGATACCTGCTAGTTAACATGGAGTAACAAAACTATATGAAGTGAAAAACGCCCTTCCCATGCCAAACAGCCCATTATTTCTCCTCACTCAACTAAACGCCAGCTACATTCCCTTATATTCGGCACATCCATAGTTCGTCCTGACTAAACCTTTTGACCAGAAAAAAAAGACAGCTGTAAATAGCGCTAGCAAGCGTTAATCCAATCTAGTAAACACTTTTGGAAGATTCCATGATCTCGATGACCGCGGGTAAAAATACCAACCTTTACAAGACGATTGGGTTCCAGCCCATTGGGACCGCATTCATATGGAGATATTCTCTTCTGAACCACACGGACGTATCTAAACAAAAAAGAAGAATATAAAACAATTAAATCACCACCCAAAGCTATAGGAAACTCACTGACCTTTCCTTTTCTGTGCACATTCCAGTGCAAAGCCCCTGAACCTTACGACTTTTCTCATCAATGTGCTTATTCTCCTCCTGAATGAGCAACTTCATTTTATCATAGGACTTCTGAATTTCGCATTTAAAAGCTTGTAGGGCTGAATTCTTAAGAAGGCTTCCCAAGAAGATGAAAGAAATTATCCATGAACCTTTATCAATATATGATAAGATATAATAAGGCGCAACTTCGGGCTTGTGGCATTTGTACTAATCCCATCGAGCACTGGATGCCACCTAAGCAGAACTGGAAATTCCTGTTAGGGTGCAATAGCGTGAGCTTCTCCACCAAGAGTCTACAAGCCTCACCAAGGAGAGACGAGTAAGTTTAGAGCAACTAGCTGAAGAAATTGCTAAAGGCAGACCCCACTAAGCCGAACAGCACTGGCTACTACAGCATAATAATAACTATGAACTTGACACACATCTCTCAGTTTAGACAGCAGCTTATCTCTTTCCTCCAGCACTTGGTATCTGTCGAATTCGGTCGGACAGTGTTTCCCAATGAGTGCCAGAAGGGACCTGAACATCGAGCATACGAGATTAGACAGAGGAAATTGAAACAGACGATTTCCGAGTCTTACATGTTCATAGTCAAATTCACAACAAAAAAAAGTCAGTGGAACGATAAGAAACCTCAAAGACAGCCTCGTCCTCAGAGTGGGCCGTTTTTTCAGCCAGCGTACGAAGTGGCTCTGAAATTGGCGAGAGACACGCATTGACAGGATTGCTGAGCACCGGTTTGGGAGAAGTTGCTGGGAGAAGTTTTGAATTGGAAGCCAACTATCCTGTAAACCTCACTTTTCAGTAAACAAATATAAGCAGGCGAATTGAAGCTTACACTTGTGTCCGAGCTAGAAATGTCTTCCCGACTGGTGGAGCGTTTCGCGCGAACCAGTTTCGTGGCCCTTTTTACAGCTGCTGCACTAGCTATGCTGCCTGAGCTCCTTTTACGAAATATGGAAGAGGGACGCAGTCGATCCCCACCAGAGCCAGTTGCTGAATTACCAGGACGGCCTGGCTGCTTCGGACTCTTCTCGACATTACGAACCAGCTTAAATCGACTGACAGATCCTCCTCCGCCATCAGTTCTGCTTTCATTGTACTTCTGCGCTGAAATTCTATCTATAAGTTAAGAAAAGGGATAGGTAAATGACAAAAATAAAAAGCGTGATGATAGCTTAATCCTAAAGAACAACGAAATACGGATGGGAATCGAGAATGGTGAATTCAAATACTTACTGCGCTCACTTAGAACATCCGCCAGACCGCGTTCAGACTTTACGATCGCGCGACCACGACAGGAGTCGCTCAACCGCCAAGCGGTGCGCTGCCGTGACGGCAGAATTCAAACTGTGCCGCACACACAGTGTCAATCTGAATTGTGCCGTTGCGGCGCTGCACCGTTTGAGGTGGAGCGCTCCCGGCCGTGGTCGCGCGATAAAATCGAGCTATCCGATCGCGAAGTCTGAACGCGGTCTGATGTCACATTCGTGATCAAGGCATCGAGTAAGCACATCGAGCAGTCTTTCAGTAAAAACGCTCCAAGATACTATGGATTATTATACTGTGATGGAATTTCTTAAATGAACATTCGCCTTTTGCGTAATAGAATGGAACAAATAGAGCTAACTAAGGAGTTGTAGTGATGGAATAATGCCAAAAAGATTTAAACAGACCTGACTCATGGCTCCCTTCAGAACTGGCCCAGTCTGCGAAACGCGAATGCGAAGTTTCTTTTGATTTGTGAGTCCTGGATGGGAAAGTTCCTGAAATTCGTTCTTGGAACGTGCTAACGGAGAATATTTCAAGCAAATTCCACCGCAGTTCAGCTTGGGGAGGGACATGTTCATGGTTCCCGTCGACCACTGCCGATGCCTCGTGTGGGGACCTGTAAATTCCTGCAAAGCTGTGCAGTAGCACTACCTTCTTTCACACTTGTCAAGAGTCTACGAGCCCCACTGAGTTGAGATGTGTAATTCAATAGAAAGCAGCAAAATAAACTAGCAGAACATCCCTCCGAAGCCGAACAGCGCCCCCACATTTCGAAGATAACACACTACCTTCACTACGAGCCTGGCTTACAACAGACGTAGGACCGCCGCGAGTGAGATTTCCAAACAAGCGACTTGAAGGGAACTGACGTTTAAACAAAGATGAAGACTCTGTAAAGTTATCTTGCAAGGTCTAAAAAGAGAACTAAATCCAGGTAAGGTAAAAACTATTGTCACCTGTTGATCTTCCGTCACCGTCGGATGTTTGTTCTTGTTCGGCCTTTTTCTTCAAGAAACTACTCGGAATTTTGAATTCAAACGACATTGTGCATAAGTAGCCAAGTTTAGTTACCTGAACATTGCTGGATCACTACCGTAGGCACATATCGACTTGGGGGAGGACAAGTCGCTCTTTCGCTACTTCCCGTTGTCTTATTGTCTTAGTAATTGCTCTACAAGGGTTGACAGGTATTCTTCACAAGAGCTCCCAAAAATCTACTTGACGGCTCGACACGACGATGTGAAGTAGCGAAAGACCGATATGGAGAACGTAGATATGTAATTCTGGAGCTGATTTGTGATTTCTTGGTTGATATGAAGAACGGTGAAAACATATTTCATGCAGTTCGTTTTTCAGGGACGAAGTTCGATAAGCAGCTTACTTTAGGAAAGTTTGAAAACAAGCGAGAGACAAACATTTCAAATAAGTGAGCGCTTTGCTTGAGCTTTTCAGAATTATAGCACTTCAACCAAGCAAAGGGACAAATGAAGTGTTGATCTACATTAACGAATATCAAATCTAAACCGGAGAAAGAACAGCAA